CCACAACGCCCGGCCATTTTTTGGTTGCAGCCATCATTGTTGTTTGGCAGGCCCGGGCTGGGGATTCGAACCCGCCACCTTAGGTGTATGTGGCTAGCGCCTTAGCTGCTTGAGCCACAGACGCCGAGCCTAGAAATTAGTTTTGAATAAATTAAAGATCAGAATGCCAGTTTTTTCCACTATTCAAATCCATAACATAAGTTTATTTAATGCTATCTACAGAATATTTTAAGTAATTTATATAACTGATAATAGTGAAACTTGAACTAAGGTTAAAAGTATTACGTGAGAGAAAACAGGTAAGCTGGAACATAAGCTGATGGTATGTATGACAAGTACAGGAAATGTGAAACTTGAAGCATATATGATAGGGAGTAAGTGTATATGTGTGCATGCTTTTTAAAATACACACACAGTAGAACCTCTGTAAGTTGACCACCCAAGGGACTATAACAAACTGGTCAATTTAAGAAACTAAGCCTACTTTACTGATATGTACATGTAGTACACGTCTGGTCTATGAAAATTAGGTTGACTTTAGGAGGTGGTCAGTGTAGGGAGGTGGTCAACTATGGAGGTTCTACCATAAGGAGAAAACAAATGGCCAGATTGTTCAGGGCTTTGTAAAGTTATAAAGATTTAGGAACAGATTCTTAGAGAAATTTGCAATGTTTTTCTTGTTGTTGTTTTGTTTTGTTTTTGTTTTTTGGCCAGGGCTGGGTTTGAACCCGCCCCCTCTGGCATATGAGGCCAGCGCCCTACTCCTTGAGCCGCAGGCGCCATCCTCTTAGAGCAGTTTGATACATAAGGTTTTAAGAAGGAATATAAAGAGAATTCAAGTGATTTGATATTTGTATAGAAAATTGGGGGATTATAAGATTTTGTGTTTGAGTCACGTTTTCTTACACTTTAGTACTTTTGAAGGATAGAACATAACAATCTCTTACTGTGTTACTGATTCTCATTGTTTTGTTTTAAAAAAAAACCCCACAGGTGATTCTGAGATAATTTACGTACATTCACATGTACAGGCACATCCATTTTCCTACCCCTCGTTCACTTGCATATGTGTGGGTAATACATTGTAAGATTCTTGAAGGTCAAGACCATCTTGAGCTTTTCACAGTAGTTGCTGTATTACACAATGGGATCCTTTTTAGATTGAGTAAAATAAATAATAATGAAAATAGCTGAGTAAGTGTACTCTGTCACTTATAGTTTGTCTTTAAGGAGAGTAACACCCGTCAACCCCAAGTGAATTATCTACCATTTTTTAATATAATATGCTTTCTGGAAAACTATCACAAAGCATTAGAGACAGAAGGCAATACATTACCGTTGTTATATTGGACTGGGCTGCAGGGCAGTAGTTGTTTAGAATTGTTAATGATTTAAAGTTACTTTACTACTTGTTAAATGCCAATATTTTTTTTTTTTTAGAGACAGAGTCTCACTTTATCGCCCTCAGTAGAGTGCTGTGGCATCACAGCTCACAGCAACCTCCAACTTCTGGGCTTAGGCGATTCTCTTGCCTCAGCCTCCTGAGTAGCTGGGCTACAGGCGTCCTCCAGAACACACAGCATTTTTTGTTGCAATTTGGCCAGGGCTGGGTTCAAAGCCGCGACTCTCAGTATATGGGGTTGGCACCCCACGCACTGAGCCACAGGTGCCGCCCATTAAATGCCAAATATTTGAAAGCTGTACCTAATGTTTCACTTGATAGGCATTTTCTTTGTAGGAAGGTAGTATATAACTTTGCCTTTTTGTTGTTTAGCCTCTTTTTAGAAAAGTGAATTAACTCTTCTCAGGTTTGCTTCTAAAAAACCTTAGGCTGATAGTGAAAGAGAGCAACTGTAAATTTTCATACCCACATTTAACCAAGCTAGTCTCCATTATTTCCCCAAGTGGAGGTATTTATTGGCCTATTATCTAAAAATACATAATTGAAGACTGGAAGTGTTTTATTGTATTTATTTTTGTGTTCTCTTTCCTGAATCTTCCTAGAATTAACAAACTTACGTAGTTTTAGAATTATCAGAAATACATTTTCAAAAAGTTAGTCATAATTGACAAACACATAGTGATTTGATGAATAAGAAGGGAATCACAATGATGGCAAAACTGCTAACAGTATCTTCATACCAGGCATTGATTTATGTATGTAGTCATTGATAGGAAAAGTCCCAGAATATTATTATACTCAGTAGTACAAAAATTAATATTCTGTAAAATGAGAAAAATGCCCTTTTGGCATTATGTCTTCAACAAGACACATCTGGGGTTTTTTGTTTGTTTTGAGACAGAGTTGCATTCTGTTGCCCTGGGTAGAGTGTGTCACAGCTCACAGCAAACTCAAAACTCTTGGGCTTAAGCAATTCTCTTGCCTCAGCCTCTCTAGTAGCTGGGAGACTATAGGTACCTGCCACAATGCACGACTATTTTTTTCATTGCCATTCTTGTCGTTGTTTTGGCTGGCCTAGGCCTGGTTCAGACTTGCCAGCCTCAGTGTATGTGGCTTATGCCCTGCCCCCTGAGCAGTGGGCACCACCAGCACATCTGTTTTTTATTTTAATATTTATGAATGTATGTATGTATGTATGTATTTTTGAGACAGCGTCTCTGTCGCCCTGGGTAAAGTACTGTGGGATCAATCTCAAAACAACCTCAAACTCTTGGACTCAGATGAACCTCTTGCCTCAGCCTCCTGTGTAGCTGGGACTACAGGCAGCTTTTTTTTTTTTTTTTTAAGTAGAGACAGGATTTCACTCTTGCTGGTCGTAAACTCCTGAGCTCAAGTGATCCACCTGCCTCAGCCTCCCAGAGTGCTAAGATTACAAGTATGAAGACAACACATCAATTTTAACTTGTCATTGTTCTAAAATAAGCATTCAATTTAGGGCTTCTGGGCCTCAATAAATTATAAATAGTAGGTAAAACAAAGTTAAATTTTAATTTTTAGAGAGTCATATGGCCTTCACTGCATTTGTTATGTAATGTTCCATTGTT